TCTCAGCTTCTCAGCCACCATCTGGACTTAACTCAGGCTGAAGCACGCAGCCAAATTTAAACAATCCCTCCTCTGGACTGTTGGTCTGACTGATGAGGTGCGACCCAGCAGCCATCACACCCCTTCACCCTCCTACATCCAAACCCAGCTCTTTTCCAAGAACAACATACACCCACAGTGGCATGTCTGTGCTGCCGTAGAGAGCTGACCGTGATATAAGTGTCTCCCCAATACGACGTGTCACTACACTGACCTGTGTCAGAACACATTCCACACTGAGGCCCACTGTGTTGGAGCCTCAGGGCCCATAATAAAAACTCAGCCGTTGTAAAACATGACATTTGACAGTAGCGCGGTAACCTGAGCGATCGGACTCGGGATCTTGTGAGTGACAGGAAGCTATGGCTGTTCTCAAATGAAAGCTTCTGTTTATTCTAGCAGTTTTAAGTGGTTGAGGTCAACATTTACCCATCGTCCCTGGTGGTTTACTCAAATCTCCTCACAGCAGTGTGCAATTTCCATTATGATGTACTAAATGGTAAAAAACAACATCCTGAGGAACGGGAAATAACAATGTGTTAGATTTCACACGTCAGCACAAAAACCTGTGCTGAGTATCAGTGTTTTTGTGGTTTTAAGTGGAATTAGAAAATTTTCAATGACGGGTTGTTATATCCTCTGCTGCTGAGCCAATAATCTGAAGGAAGGGTTGATTTTATTAGTTTTTTTATAAAACGGCCAATTTTAAATCAACGCACGTTGAGGTACAGTGCTCTGCAGCAACCAAGGTTAAGGTTACTCTAAACACAGAGGACACATTTAAAGATTCAGACAGACAGACATCTGGATTAGAAGCAAAACATTTACAGCAAAGGGAGGATCTGTGCGATGGTTCAATGGTGAGGTTAGAAATAAAGAAAGTTTGTGGAACATTTAAGGTGAAAAAAAAAATCTAAGAAAAACACAGGTGTAGTATAATACGTTTTAAATGAGGAGAACTCTTTGACATGTAGTTTAATTTGTCCTTTAAATGTCGCCATCTCCCATAGATTTATTAAAAAGTCATGAAGCGGATGAACAGGTCACATGGCTCTATATGCAGAAGATGGCTTCGTTTACATAAGCCAATTGGATTGTGCTACATTAGAAGATGAGGATAGTTCCTCCTTCATTTATGCAAACAACGAGTTAATACGTCTTGTTTCATAACACTTTGCTTCTTTGCTGATTAATTTACAGACTAGTCCTTTGTCATTTCTAAGCCAGTCGTTTGTATTAAACCCCACATACCAAATACTTCCTTTAACCTTTTGTCGACAGACTGAAAAGACGGCAAAATCCTGTGTCTACCACTTTTTATACCCTGGTCTCTGGAAGCACACATGCTGAAGAGAAAGCATTTAGTTTATTTTAGAGAGCCTGCAATAACCTGGGGCTGCCAGCAGGCAGACTTTCCTCTGGTGCTTTCTGTCCTCAGTGGAGCCTGGGGGACTGCCTCCTCTCATGTGGTTTATTTCATTCAAGGGAATCAGCCTGAAGCAGGCGGTGCACTGATCTTATAACGTCCATTTCAGATGGATTACTCGCCTCTTAATCAACGATACGACTGACACATTCGCATCGACAACACAATTCCTGAAAGCAGCTCAGCATCTGCTTTAAACTGATAAAAGAGTTTCACAGTCAGGCACATTTTAACCGGCTCTATATTTTGCTCTTTTTGCACCTTAAAAAATTCAGCATAAAACTTAGGATCTAATCTCTTTATTAAATTTATTCTCCCGACTATTGCACGCAAGAAACACTGAGTAGCTCATAAAAAGGTCCATCCTTAATGTGAGATTTATATCCTCTAATTCCTAGTGGTTTCCTTTCCTTTGGATGACTTTCCCTCTGTCTCAGCTCGATCTGCTCTCATGTCTCCCTGCTGCTGTAATGATAGCAACCTGTAGGGTGTGTTGACTACAAGTTGCTCATGATACAAAGCGAAGATGTCTGAAGTGTTTGGCAGAAAATGATTAATGAGCAGAGTAAAGACCGCACAGGAAAAACCCCCCAGACGTGTCCACTTCTGCAGCATGCAGCATCTCAGCGTGACACAAATGAAGAGGTCCAAGAGAGAATCCCTGAGGGACTTCCCACTGCTGCTTACAAAGCTCTGTCTCTGGGTTTGACAGTAAAACAGGTGGCTGCTTGTAATAAATGGATATCATCTCAGCCACTGAGCCCACATTTACAGAACCAGGCTCTCGGCCCTTTTGTGTTAACAGCAGTGAGCTCGACTTTGTATCAACACCCCTCTGTGACTCTATTAGCTGTGTCTTCACTCATCAGTTAATTACCTCTGCTGTACATCTTCAGTCTTTTTAGTCCTGCTGTTAACACTGGCGTTTGCTCTTTAAATAAATGAACAGCTAACATTTTCAGACCTGGTAAATGTCTGTCTTTTACATTTGTCTCAGCAGAAGTTCATTGGCTTCATTGCGTAGGTGTAAATGTTAAAGTGCCAGTGTTGACTGTTGACTGTTTCATTGACGAGAATGTAAAGTATTCTTGTGTAAATACTCCTACGTACGTGTTATATTTGTTGTTTTCTGCCTCCTCTAGTCAATACTGGTTGAACAGAAATATCTTTTCTAACTTTATCACACTGTGTGAGACCTGTTGTTATTTTTCCCACTGTAATATTTCAAACCCAGACAGTGGAAGTGTCTTCTCAGCGTCTCGCTGTGTCAGATTTTATACTGAGAAAAATACACGTGAACACAACGTTAGTATATCCTGTATATTTTCCCAGTTCCATGCAGCTTTAGCATGTGACCCCCCCCCCCCCCCAAACACCTCCACCCGTTCCTCCCTTGCCATCTCAACAGTGTTGCCGTGCAGTTGATGAGACGCACACAGAGGTCCATCAACATACCTGCTGAGCTCAGATTACAAAGCCTTTGCTGTTGTGAGGGAAATGCCCCACAGGAAAACAGTCGGAGATAGTGTTTCTGGCTGCCCTTCAAAATCCTTCACTGTTTAGCCATCATCATCAGCTGCAGCAGCATGAGCAGCAACAGGAAAGTTTATTTTCTCACTGGCTCTTGAACACTACTGCTAACACTAACACGTTAGTACTACTGGGAGGGCTAACAATACACAAACAATTTTAGTTAAATGTATTTTTTTCCACATTAAAAAAAGTTATATATATATATTATACACACACACACACATATATATATATATAATTTATTTTGCTGCACTTCTTAACATTTTTATGTCTATGTTTCAGAGAACAGTCAAACAATCACATCAGCATTTTTATGTCCTGTGATTGGATGATAAAGGCTAACAAACCAAAACACATTTTAGATTATGTTCTTTTTTAACTCACAATGTCTGTCAGACACACACTGGAGGACATTATATTTGGGGGTTTTTATGCACAGATACATTTATGAGTGATTTGTAACTGTTTTGAAGGACAGAAAACACATGGATTTGTGTGTATTAAAGGATGATACATGTTCATCTGTGTCTGTGGTGAAAAGATACTTGAGGAAATGTTCTTATTGGAATTTCTTTTCTCTGGGTTCCACAGCAGTACTAAACCTGTTGTACTACATGCCTGTATACTATTTAGAGTTATTATAGCCATGATATTGTAATCATGGTAGAAAGAAGTGGACTCATTCAGGAGGGATATTACTGAAGGCTGGGGTGTGAAACTGAGCAGCTGCTACTGCAATGGAGCTAATAAAAACGTCTGCATAAAACAACATGAATCATCCTCACACACCTCACCAACACGTACTCAATACGTAGTAACACCAGTACACAACATACAACAACATCAACATTCTGCTGTGGACACTAATCTGTTCTAGTATGTAGAAAACAAAATACTTATTCAAAGTCAAAACAAAACATGTCTCTGAAATCTCAAGGCTGTAACAGCAACAGTTTGATGAAATACGATGTTCTCTGCCAACACTCTGTCCTGAATTTCCAAGTTTTATTGCAGTGCTTCCAAAATTCATGTCAACAACATCGACTAAAACATGTGCAGCTGGCACAAGCACAGGATCGTTGAGTAGAATACACACAAATCAATATTTTCAACAGTGTCGTGACGTAAGGCTCAGTGATTCAACTGAGACCCGTTCAAGGCCCGCGTACTAATAAAAACACATACAAATATAAAATAATTAGATTTTCTTCTTGAATTAAAGGAGATTTACTTTAAATATTTTTAGAACTCTGTGGCAGTTGCTGGTCTGTGACTCAATTATTTTCATATGAATTCTGTTCTGGGTTTCTTCCCTCCTGTTAAAGAATAGCACAATCTTCTGTAGTTTTAAAGTCAAATTGTTAGGCAAAATACTGGCGCAGATTTGATTCTTACTAATACTGCTAGTATTAAGGTAAGCTACCTTACAACGTCAGCAATTGCTTCCTTTTCCCTTCATCCCCTAAATTTAAAATAAATACTCTGTTAAAGCAATAAACAATCTTCCTGGTAATGCAGTGATGTTGACACTGTATTACCTGTTTGTATTTTGAACTGAGTATTTTTTACTGTCTCACTGACAACATCAAAACACAAGGTGAATTTCTGTTCTTTCCTCCTGTTGTTTTCTCTAAATCTTTTAAGAGAAAGTTTCTGATGTAACAAGAGTTGAAATTCTCTGTCTAATATTGTGTATTTACTAATAAAACCTTACATCCTAACTTTGTTGAGAAGTAAATAACCGAAGGAGACCATAAAAACTCAGTAAATCATTAAATAAGTGGAGTGGTTAGAGATAAAGAGGCAGAGAGAGCGGGGGGAGGGGCAGTGACCCTGGTGGCTCTGCCCTCCTTTCATCATGACCACCAGAGCCCATCAATCACAGCTAACCAGCGTTAGTTGGTGTGTTTCTTTACTGTTGATAGGTGAACAGAGAGGAGGAGGGAGAGCAGCAGTGACACAAAGAATAAAAAGGAGAAATGTGTGTTTCTGCACTCCGCTGTCATGTTTACAACATCAATATATTTTAAATGTAAACGCTGCGGAGAAAAAGCAGGTAATAAATGGATTCCCTCCTGGAAGGGATCAAAATGTCATATCCCTGAAACCGCCTCAGGAGGAAAGAAGTTAACAAACTCATCCATCTCAGCTTTTGCATATAGAGCTGTAATTTAGCCACATGAGAAGTCAAGTTTCAGATAAACAGGATGAAAGAGTGATTTAGACATCTGTGAGCAACCAAACGGACTCAGGGACGCTTTTGATTCATGGCAGGATGTTTGAAGGAACATTTTTGCCAAGAACCGTGCAATCTGAGTAACAGAATGTTCCATAATCAAAAGCATTCAGCTCGCATGGTGTACATTATCCTCTGGTAGTAATGGGGGCCGGGGGGGGGCAAGGGGTCGAGCTTGGTCATTTACAACCTCAAGCTCTCCCTGCTTCACCTAAATACACCGCTCTGTTCATGCAAACAAAGAAATGTTTACACACGAGGAGGAAGGAGATTCGGAAACATGCTCAGTTGATGGAAACTGGATAAAACTGCAGCGTTGAAAGACATGCAGTGTTGACAACCTGTTCCCTGTGCACTGATCCTGACCCTGGTAATAATTTGCAGGCTCGCTGGCTGCATTTACCATCAGCTTTCTGGGTTTAGTTGCTGACACAGCATGGAGAAAGTGATGGAAAGAATCGTACGTACGGAGAAGGACGGTGCGTTCAAGGACCCTGTGTGAAGCTCCACCACTTGGGGTACGATACCTGTTGAGAGGGAAAAAATAATGCAATCTCCTCAGGGCTGAACTGCCTGGAGGCAGGAAGTCATGTGATGCTGAAAACTTCAGCCCATTAGAGGCTGCAGTGGACTGAACACTGAAGTAACCACGAAGGTTTATCCTGATTCATTTGCAGGCAACCCAGGAGCATAAACTGTGGGGCTAATGGAGACTCTTTCAGTACTACATCAACACATAATTAAGAAGGACCAATACCCAACATGTACTACACAATGAAATGGTTAAAAGGCATAGTAGTAGAAGTCAACACACCGACAGGCCTGTCTTAGGACGCCATGAAGGTCAGCTGGTATGAAGCTATCCTAAATCACTGTGAAGGCGGCTGCTGCTGCTGGGACTCTGAGTTAAGAGTCAAGTCTTAATCAGTTTTTAGTCCACATTCCAGCCAATCCCAGTCTTCCGCTGAAAATCTCCACCAATCATCTCTTGGATGTAGTATTCACAAACTGTTTCTCCTTCCCTCTGATGCAGTCGTCCCAATAGATAACCTTTAAAGACAAACACAGACCAGGTGAAAATACGACTGTAAATGTAAATAATATGTAAATAATAAAAGTCAAGTGCATTAGTCCAAAGCAAACTCTACTGAGTTTTGTACATCCTTTCTATGATTTTTTTTTCCATTAAACCTGAAAGATGAAAAGCGACCTGTGAAGATAGAAGCTCTTTCAAAACAACCTCGGTGTTTCCAGGCCAGTCTCTCTCTGTCTCCAGCTCATGTTTTTCCTTGTAGTCTTTTTCCACCAAAATTGACACACAATTATTTATTAGCGCACTTTGTGAAAAGCAGCACAAGCACCTCATATTTCATACTTTCTGAATATTTGGGTATATGAATAGATAATCTGTCTTTCTTCTGTTTTGGACAGACCCATCACTATTCACATCCGACGTCAATATTTCAACAGCCCAGGACCAAATGTTCAAATGAGTTGCCAAAGGCTTATGTTTTATGAAAATTGCTTTTCCATAATTCACAACTTTCCCCTCTGTGTCTCTTCGGACTTACCTGTTCCCCGGCTTGAGCCCCGGAAAGTTGTGGAAAAATGTGCACAGCGTGAGGTGATGGAAACACTGTCACAGCTGCTGACATCACTGAGGCAAACAGGTCCATCAGTGGTGTGTTTGGATCTGTAGCTGCAGGTCTCAGGTCTGAGCCTGTGGATGACAAATCTACTGTAAGAGCTTCCACCTGTAGGAGGTGTGACAGAGCTGCAGTGATTGGATATCATTTCTTCTGCTGTTTGGCCCTGCAGTGTGAGGCTCAGTCAAACAGGTGGACAACAGTGCTGTAGCAGCACGGCTGTGTATTCAAACAGAACTGTCCCGTACAAACACATACTGTAACCAACTTTTTGTAACCAACTGATTACAAGTGTGTGGATGGTTACCATGGTAACGCAGAGCAGAACAAAGTCCAACCATGGACCCAAGCACTGCTCACTCCAGTCAGACAGTTGCTTCCGGCAATCTTCCATTAACCAGCAGTTAGCACAGACGAGCCTCACTCGGAAGTTAGGAGCCATCTATTTCAAGTCTTCTCTCCAGGAATACTACGGTTTTCCAGAATACTACAGTAGCAGTGAAGACAGGAAGTTAAACAGAGCGATGAATAGTGTCGTCTTTGTAAAGTCAAAATCAATGACGATAACTCTCAGAAAAGATTCACACAAACGCACACGAGGCAGAGACACACTGTGAGAATAGAGCAGGCATAGGCAAACTAAGGCCCGGGGGCTGGATGCGGCCCGTTCAGCTTTTTAATCCGGTCTGCCAAACTTTTCCAAATTATATAATTTATTTATTATCATTATACATCTGACTTTCCCTGCAATACCCACATTTCCCCAATAGATGCCGTAGAAAATTTTAGCCTTTATGCATGACTTTTACACGTCATTTATCTTCGTTCACAGGGAGGTTCCATCTATCTGCTCCTGACCCAGCCCCCCTGTTCAATTTTAAGACCCATTTATTTTTAGTTTTCAAATGCTCTTCCGGGTGAAAAAAACCCTAAAAAATATGTTATTAGTTTCTAATTAAGTTTAGTTAGGATTTTCGTTTTCTCTTTTTCTCTGCAACATATAAAACATTACAAACTGATTCAAATCCAACACCTGAGGAAAATATTTGTCTGAACTTGTGGATCAAACCCTGGAGCCTGTGATGAGACAAAGGCTTTTAGAGTGGGCTGCTCTGGGTCATTCTTCCTCTTGACCTTAGCGTCTTGACCCAACCTCTCGTTGACCTCTTTATCTTTTAGTTTGGCTTCCTGACTAGTGTTTACTCTGCTCTGCTGGTCACTAATGAAAGGCAGCTTCTAAGTGGTCACTGACGTCTCCTGCATTAGCTTTGTTCACATGCAGCCAGACTTCTGACTCTGTGGGGTCATGTGGTCTCTCACTTAATGCACAAATATGTTTCAAACAACTGAGCTGCGTGTTGAAATGAACCTTAACTACACTTCACACACCAAGTACTGGAAAAACACACAATTTGAAGAGTGTGTGTGTTTAAATATGCAGGGCCAGCAATTTTCATGAAGGGCATTTTATTTTAGGGTCTGGACAAAAAAAAGTGTTAATAGTAGCTCAGTGGTTTTGCATAAAACTGAAGAGACGCATTCAAAGTAGAGGAGGAAAGAAAAAGCTCTGGTAGAAATTCCATTCATTTCTTATGAAAGAATGCATCATTTAATCAACCAATCAGTAGTGTGATGGTGTGAAAATCAACAAATGGCAGCAGACAGAATCACTAAAGAAGTAACAAGTTACATCTGGGACATCTGTGCTTCACCTTTTGCCAAAAGCGACATTTAAAAAAAACAACAAAAACAAAAACAGCATTAAACACTCACTTCCTGAAGTCTCAAGAACACAACGACAAACTCAATGTACAACAAACGGTGAGCAAAGAGGTTAGAGCTCTTACCTTATAATTCTATACTATAATTCCTACAATTGAGTTGAGTTCCACAGTAAAACAAGTCAAGAAAATATAATAGAAAATATAATACATATATAAAAAAGGTGTCATTATTTGGAAAGTAATATACCTCAATTAAACATGATTAATCACGATGAATTACAATGTGATTAATCATGTTTTTTATTGTGATTAACCCACAACTACCCTGTCCATTGTCCTAGTTAGAATATAAAAGAAAGAAATAGAATCTGTTGGATATGGATAAGGATAAAAATACAAACAATAGAGAAAATGAACTGTTAATGAATTAATTGAGTTTCCAGACAGTCATTTACTTTGAGTTATTTAATGTGTCAGAAATGACGGTTGCCACCCAGTGTTTCATATTGTAAATATGCAGTAATAGTTTATATTTAGCCACAGCCATGGTGTTAATATTGAATTGGTGTAATCAGTGGTCGTCAACCACAGCTTTTATTATGATACTGTGTGTGTGTGTGTGTGTGTGTGTGTGTGTGTGTGAGAGAGAGAGAGAGAGAGAGTGCCAGCTTGTAGTTTATGCAAGATGCTGTGCCTGCTGGAGTGGACATGATGTGTAACAGGTGTGAGTCTGTGAGGAGGACAGTCCCACACAGCTGTCCCCGTGGATTCAGGTCATGTCCTCTCCATCTGCCTCCACACCACCAAACTAAATCTATACGTAGGCCTGCGTGTGTGTGTGTGTGTGTGTGTGAGTCGGTGTGTCACTGCAGCCCCATGTCGTCAACCTTCCATAACGCACCTCCCCTTGATTCTGCACTAATCTCTTCCTCAGGTTCCCAGGACTCCTGCACCTGTGTGGGTTTGGACATGTGTCCATTTCAGAGTTTTTAATCCTTCACTCTGACCGCCGTCCTT